CCATCATCCATCATCCATCATCCACCCTCACACCTCCACGTCACATCTACCCGTTACCACGTCCCCTTTTTTTTATCCCCCGTTCCTCTGCCCTGTTCGTTCGGGATGGTTCGTCTGTGTGTCTCATGTTGAACTGCTCACATCAAGCTCCACCATTGCCGCGCCCCGGCCTTACCTAACCCTGCCATTGTGCTACTGTGTCTCTGTCCGCTCTTCTGCTCGTAAGCCTGACTGTGACTCACATGGGGAAACAGGGAGAGACTAGCTGGCTGAAGGTACAGTAACACTTCACTGTGAGTGGAGCTCAAACTGCTTATCATGCTGCTAACTCAGACTCAGCTGAATCATAACATAATCATTACATAGCCTCAACTCGTGCTTTTAAAAATATATTGGCACCTTTTTTTTTTTAACGTTTTTTAAGTGAAGAGTTAATTTCCAGAATATATTTAGTGTCTGTGAGTTAACGTAATTTCATGTCTCTGTACTTCTTATTGATCTACCTGTAAGATCTAGTCTTGCTTTAATAGTAACACTTTACTTTTGGCATTTAGAAGCAGCATATATTTAATAATACATTTAATAAACATATATCTGTAAGCATATATCGAGACATTTTAAAGTGTTAATGTGCAGTATTTTCAAAAATTCGAACTTTGAAGACATATTTTACAGTATAACAACATTATCTGTTTACAAAGATATATTATTAAACAGTTATATCAGCTTACAACTACATTATATATGTATATATACTTATATAATGTGTCTCATTTTGGAATAAAACCCTTCAGATCTCTATTTTGTTTTCTAGATGCCAAATGATAATGTGGATACCAGATTTAGCACACGCAAAGAGGGATTTAAAAGGAATAATGTACATATTAATTAAGAAAAAGAGAAATTATTTAATTATATTGTTAGCATTCCTGATTATTAACATTGAATTGATTACCGCTTTTCACAGAACTGATTATTTCTCTCCCGTTTGTTGTTTGATCTTAGTTTTAGTTTAAAACATTAGCCAATTAGTCATAGAGGTCTTTAATGAATGAAACATTCCTTGGACATTAGCTGTTTGGTATTCTGAGGGGTCTTGGTGACCCTCCACTGACTGTACAGACTTTTAATTATATTGGGTTTCATTAATTTCATCCAGGGACACGGCCGGCCAGGAGAGGTTCAACAGCATCACATCAGCCTACTACAGAAGTGCCAAGGGAATAGTGCTAGTGTACGATATCACAAAGCAGGAGACCTTCGACGACCTGCCCAAATGGATGAAAATGATAGACAAGGTATGCAAACAGTCAGACTGCTGGAAATCTGTGGGTAGCTATATTTTTATTAAAGGTCTCATTAGATGAAATGTGCCAGCTCCTGTCAGAAAGTGTGTTTCTGTGCAATGTTTCTGTGGTTGTTGTGTTTAGTTTACTCTTGTACAGTCACAAAACAGTTCCTTGGATTCTGCCATTTATCTGCCAGCAAGGTTTGCATGAAAATGTAGTACAATAACAACCCACCCATACAACTCCCTCATATCCACCCTTCAGTTTCTGCCTTTGTTTTTAATCTCTGGCAGCGGTAACATGAGCTAGAGGTGTTTTTTTAAGATAGCACTTGGCAGAAACACTATTTTAATTATAGCCCGACTGATGGGCCAATACTGATATTAATATTTATATATATCTTAACACAACCAATTACATAAATAAACATTTTTGGTAGTGTTTTCACCAAGAAATGTGCTGGGAAGGAAATTTTACACTTTTATTTTACAGAACGGTGACAGTTTGAGAACAGATCTTTGGCATTTTTCCATAATTAAATTCCTTGTTACTTATCAGCTAACATATTCCGATACTGATATCTGTACAATGAGCTGATTATCGGTAGGGTTAGAGTCCCAAGTTAGTCTGGGAACCAGACAAATCTGCCCAACTCATGATGTTTCCTTTGCTTTGGCAAGATTTACATTTGCAAATTAGTCTGACCAGCTCCAGGCGGTTTAAATATATTCATTTTAAAGGGGGTGGTGCATGTGATGACTCCTGACTGTGACACATTTATTTGCCTTTTTGTTATGTGTACGTTCATTTTCAATACACGGAGGACAAAATAGTCACATTTCACTTATTTATTCAGCTTACATCACAAAGAAAAACACTTGAACGCTTGTGTTCAATTGTACTTGTATCCTTCAAACACTGCTAAAGGCTCTGTGCTGTAAATCGTAGGCAGTTTTTATTATGCTGTGACTGTGAGCCAAATAAATAAGTGAAATGTGAGCATTTTGTCCTTGACTTGAACACTGGAGAAGTGTTACCTTTTCATATTTTTTGTAACACTGACTGGATTTTGGCTGTAGCACTCCATAGAGAGAGAGAGTGTCCCACCTTATTACTCGGAAATGGATCAAACATTAAAGCAAATTATGTCCTTATAGTCCTGTCATAGTTATAGCTCCTTTACTGTAGCTTTATAGGTATAATTAACCAGAGTGAAGCAAAAAGTTGCAACGTTGCCAAATCACTTGTCAAACCCAATGTGTAAGAAAATGTCTATTTTTTTAGAATGACAACCTTAATCTATAATTTTTATGAAGTCTTTATTTAACTGCTGTACTATAGAAGCAGTTTTCATGGTGACTGTGTGCTAAAAAGATTAAATCCCAGTAATCTGTTTTGACTTTAATGAAATGGGAGGTTGATGATATCCTGATCCTGACGTGTCTCCTCTCTGCTTTCTGTTTTGTGTCAGTACGCCTCAGAGGAAGCAGAGCTCCTTCTGGTCGGGAACAAGCTGGACTGTGAGACTGATCGTATCATCTCCAGACAGCAGGGAGAGAGGGTACATTCAACACACAAATCCTCCCGTTCAGCAGCATGTCACAACACCACATGTCCGGTTTCTATGAATTTGAACAGATCAGAGTATCTAAAAGAAGACCGATGTATTGATGTGTATTATGAACAGAACATCTTGACAATTCAGCCACAAATTATAGCAGAAAAATACTAAATAATGCAGAATGTAGATGTGGATTGTCTTCGAACATGGACTCACTGATCTCCTGCAGAAACGGACATTACGTGTAGCATTACAGGGTGCTCATCCTAAAATTCCATCAAATCTTTCTGTGTTGTTCATCTTAGTTTTCTGCTACAGTTGTTCTTTGCTGACATTGAGCTTTGAATTGTGTTACAGTTTGCTTCTCGAATAAGTGGAATGCGCTTCTGCGAAGCTAGTGCAAAGGACAACTTTAATGTCGACGAGATCTTCCTGAAGCTTGTGGATGACATCCTTAGCAAGGTTGGTGTGTTACCAGTAGAGGCGGACCAAACCTTTTGTTTTGAGGTTGATAGCAGAATCGATATTAGAACATTAAGTGTTTATTGATTGGACTTTTGTTATCAGTGCCTTTCTAGTATTTTGTCTGTGGAGGTGCAGTCAGACCCGGTGAAATTTACTCACATGATGTGGTCAAAAGCAGGTGGGACAGGACTGGAAGCCAATGTATTTCACCGTTTTTCATTGAAACGAATCGGGAAGTGTAAACCTACTCTTATCAATGTTCTGAGATTTAGGTTGGGACATTGTTCATATTTTGCCTTTCACACATGTAGCACACAAACAGGAGATCGTTTGTGTCAGTTGGGTAGAGCGTGCAGGAGGAGGACTCGTGATTCATTTTGCATCTCAAAAAACCTGACTGACAGAGAATAGTAGTAGAAACGGAGGTCAGCGTGACTCCAGTCTGTCTGCCCGACAGGAGAGGTAGTGTGGTGGAATTGTATAACTGAATTAGGACCAGGAAGCACATTTTTACTTTCTCTGACTGTGGAATTACAACTGAAGAAGAAAGGCATTAAAACATGAGGTAGAATGAGACTCATGTGATATTGAATTCTCCGGACAGTGACCTCCTCTAGTCACACATGAGCTCACACAGACTTTGGACTCCAGAGCTGGCAGAGATTAATACGTTTAATGTTCAGTGCAACTGATTCAGCCATACAGCTCCTCTGGGTAAAGTCTACATAAGTTCAGGGTTTCACTCAAAAAGTCACTGTGGCTGTCAACTGTAAAAATACAATGCGTCTTCTTTTCTGACTTGTCCCTTGTTCCTGATCCAACAGATGCCTCTGGAAGTTCCCAACAGGGAGCTTTCCAACAGTGTCCTGTCTCTGCAGCCTGAACCGGAAGTGCCTCCGGAGTTGCCGCCTCCCCGCATGCGCTGTTGCTGAGAGTCCGAGTACCCCCCCCCATCCTTTACACACACACACACACTCAGCTCACACATGCAGAGTACCAATCTGGCCACCAAGGGGCAGCAAACAGCAGCAGTTTGGATTTATTGACTGCTGATGTAAAGATGCATGGACTCTCTTAACAACTAGTATTATTATTATTTCTTCTCCCGTTTTCTAACTGTACACTATGACACGTACTACACTAACACTTAGGCCTGGTGAATCACCCACTTCCTACCAACACTTCTGTCTACACTTGACCCCAGACTACCTCATTCCCCCTGAAACGTTTAGGCTAGCTGTGCCCCGCAGGTGCCTTCGAGGTAGAGAGCCCTCTGGTAGCAGTTGCACATTTACAAGGAGGAGGATTATTGAGGGCCTTACAGCTTGTTCTCTTTAAAAAAAAATAGTCCTTACACATACTGTACATTAAGTTTGACATTGTCTGAGTTGCCCCGATGGTCTGGTATCTCTGCATTATCTAGCTTACAGAAAAAGGGATAATAATCTCACATCTCTTCGGCTTAGTTTAAATTCTGGGTCTAGGTACAGTAGTTTTATACTCTTATTAATAGATATTATTACCAAGTTGACTTGAGGTAAACACAAAAGCACATGATGTAAATACGGTGTGTTGCTGTAATGACTGGACAAGGTGCAAGAATTTCTTGTAGCCAGCAGTAGGCGGGGTTGTGTGGTGGTGATCATATCAGTTTGTATTCCTTTGCCTTAAGGTATTAAAGCGGCTGGAGCGGCTCAATTTCACATTTGTATAAATCGTAATGTTTTGCACTACAATCCATCTTTACCTAGTTAAGCTGACATGTAGAAGAAAAAAAGAGAAAGCACATGACTCGTAGTTTAGCGCTAGTGAAGATCAGTGTTGCCTCGGTTAGCGGCCGCTCTCAACTCTTCCATGCCCCGTTGAAGAGTGAGTGGGATTGGTGTTTTCACAGGGGGCATTCTCTGTGTGTGTGTGTGTTGCTGGCTTTTTTAGAGGAAACATTAAGTAGTTAGTACACACACACTCGCATATAGTTTTGGCCTTTTGGTTTTGTTACTAATCTTGCAAAGTTGTTTTTATTTTTTGTGTTTTTTTTCCTCTGAATTCAGAAACAGCTGAGAAAAGAATGTGTCTCCTCTTTTTATGGGGGGGAAAAGTGCAGGAAGGTTTGTTATGTTTTTGAATGACTCAGGAAACTTTGATTCAGCTCATATCTGCTCATGTTGACAGGCTTTTTTACTGTAGACTTGATTTGAGTTACATAGCAAATAAATAACATCTTTATAAAGATACTACTTTTTAGAGGAGGTCAGCTGTTTTGAGTTTATGATTTGGGGCAGTTTGTTACAGACCAGTGTGGAGACATCCCATCACTTGCACATTTAAAAACAAACTAGGCTATGCATGTTAAGCCCTCCGGTGTTCATAGACATTAATAATCATTTAATTCTTCCGTCTTTTTTTGTTTTTTGTTAAATGAATGCAATATTAGCAATGTAGCACTGTGAGTGTTTCTGTTATTGTTTTTACATGTTGAAGTAAAAGCCCGAGTCTTGAGGATGAGGATGAGGAAGGACGAACCCATTCAAAGGACCTGATTTAAAAAAAACTGACTGTTTTTGGTTAAAATTGGTTCATTTTACTTTCTGTTGAAGTTTTATGTTGATGTCAAGCTTTTGTGGACTTGAACTGGCACATTATGTATTCTAACAAATGAATAGTTTTCATACCACAATAAAGATGTTGAAAATGTGAGACCTTCACTGACATCCTAGCACATCAATAAGATCATCAGCCAGCAAACGACCTGCGCACACAAATTATCTGCAACTTTATCTCTCTCTTGTGTTTTAAAATTGAAAAAAAAACATCTTTTGATGTTGTTTTGGAATCAAACCATTCATTTGTCCCTCTGACTTTTAGCATTTGGCACTAACCCCGTGGTCTCTGTTTTAATAACCAAGCCTTATTACTACTCAGTGTTTTAAATATACATTTTAAACAATGCTTTTATTTTGAAATGTGTATCCTTTAAAAGATGGAAGACTGTACTTTGTATTAAAACCTGTTATAAGTCTTTGAAAAGTTTTCGGCATGTTTAAAGCGGATTTGTGGTATTTATAACTTGTGGCATTCTTGAACTAATGAAATGCAATTAAAGATATCTATATTTATTACCAGATTATGGCTTTTATTTTAATGTTTTGAGTGGATTCCAGGAATATGTTGTTTTTACTTTACATTTTACAGATCATAAATATTAGATTGGGGTCTAAAACCATTGATCTGACTTAGAGACACTGACTTATAAAGTGAGTACCTCCTGAATCCATCTTTCCACCTCATGTGAAGGTGCTCAGTAGCCAATTTTGTGTGTGTGTGTGTGCGTGTGTGTGTGTGTGTGTGTGTCATTAGGGCATGCGCACCAAAGCGTGTCAGACCTGGTCCCAGAGAAAACAAGGGGTGTGCTTGGGCGCTTGTAAGAGGCAGCAGCGCATGCGCCCCGCAGAAAATCACGGGCGTCGAGCCTCACCGCAGCGATTGCAGATCTTACATGTCAGATAGGAAAGGAGTGGGAAGGGGGTACGAGACACGGGGGGCCCAGCACTCACAGCCCGGTGTTACAGAGGGATGGAGACCCGGTGTGCGGGAGGAGGAGGAGGAAGAAGGCTGATGTGACTTTTTCTTTCCAACTTAAGCCTTTACGAGCCCTGTCTGCAGATGCAACCTGTCCGTCATCCCATCCTTCCCAGTAATCCCCCTGTTTTTATATATATTGCAGCGTTTCCTCCAAAGGGTGGCTACAGGCAGAGGGGACTACAATGACAACCTGGTGAATGCAAACGAGACGGAGTAAAAAATCATCCAGCACAACGCAGGATGCGCATCCCCAACCCGACAAGGAAGAAGCAACCTGGCTGTTTTTCTGCTGTCGCATGTCAGAGATTTTCCGCGGTGGTGTTGTGGATTGATCGTTTCCTTCATCGCCCTCCTGCTGCCGGTGTCGGTGTATAATGGAGAGCTCCAATGGCTCTGGCAGCGACACCAAACCGCAGAACCACCAGTTGGAGAAGAAGAGACTGAACCGAGCGCCTTCCCCGGCCAGACCTTTCCTCAAGGATGTGCACTCCCGCTCCACCAAACCACCTGCCATCGTACCAAAATCACCCAAACTCAGCAAGCAGCAGCAGCAGTCTGCCACACTGCCCTTGGCCCATCCGAACCGCAGCTCCAGGCGCAATGCAACCGGGTCGAAAGAGAAACTAGCCTCGGCCAAAAGTAACACCAAGTCCTTCGTGGCGAAAAAGCTCACAAAGGTGCCCCAGCATGCAGCAGCCGAGCCCAAACCCGCCAGCATCAAACCGGACAGCACCAGCAGTCCGATCCTCGCCAAAAGCAAGAAGGGGAAACTAGCCTCAGGGTCTCCGGGCCCTCTCAGCCATGGATCCCCGATCCGGGTACCGACCGGAGCGCCTCTCGGCCGGGTGAGCCAGACCGACAGCAGCTCAGACCTGTCAGACTGCCCGTCCGAGCCGCTGTCGGACGAGCAGAGGCTGGCACCGGCCGCTAGTAGCGACGCCGAGTCTGGTACCGGCTCTAGTGACCGGGATCAGCAGCTGGGAGCCGATAATCCGCTGCGGGCAGAAGCGACCGGAGCGGCTGCCGCTGCTGATGCTCCGTTGCGCACAACCGAGGCTTCCGCCGCCAAGGGAAGCATGTCTCAGGCTCAGCCCGCTCCGGGGGCGCACGGAGAGAAACACAAGCAGGAGAAACCCTCATCAGGCGCACAATTCAGACTGCCAGGCACCAAGAATGTAACTGAGGAGGACCTGCTGCGGGAGGTGGAAGATTTGAGATCTGAAAACGACTACCTCAAGGTATGGCGACGTTATCCCGACAATTTACAGAGCAGACTAACGTGGCTGCTGCTGTGTGTGTGTGTGTGTGTGCTTATTTGTTGCATAAGGTTTTTTATATAAACACCTAATTCACAAAATCTACATCTGAAGAGACATTTTATGGTTTGCAGGCTGGTTTAGTCCAGAAACAGCTGATTCCCAAAGAGGATCCAAAACTGTCTCTTTACAGGACAGTCTGGCATCACCTGTTTGTGTCCTTGAGCAACTTCCACCTGCTCACTAATTGAAGACATAATCTGAATGTATATATGTTATTATAATCTAAGCAGCTCCTTTAATGCCCAGCTGTCATCCCCATGAAGTCCTTCTGTCAGCTCTTCATCCATCATGTCGTCTTTTTTAACCTTTCCGGGGCTTCCCCTGTGGATTTGACCTTTTATTGATGGGAGTTTTATTGATGGGAGTTTTATTGATAGTAGCTCCATAATGTTGTGTCCTTAGACCTCCAGTTTTTTTTTTTTTTTACATCACTTCTGTCAAGTCCTCAAACTCTATTATGACAGAAATACTCAACAATTCACCCTGCTCCTCTCTCCTTCCTCCTTCCTTCCTCCTCCTCCTCCTCTGTTGCATTTGGGACACTGAGAGTAACATCGTCTCCATCTAATGATGTGAGCAGATTGTCCTCAGGGATGCACAGTCGTTTTTTAATCAGTGTCTTGTTTGTCAGCCGTCTATTTTATCTATTGCAGGAGGATCCAGCTTTGAGATATCATGCAGGATCCCCTCCTCCCTCCCTCCCTCCCTCCCCCTTCTTCTTTAAGTAGGCTATCCCCATAAGTTGGGGAGGGGAGGCAAACAGATAATGCGGCAAACAATCTTGCAGTTTTTTTTATTTTGTTGTGTTATTTCAAACTTGATCACGCATGTCTGTGTGTGTGTCTCTCTCTCTTTCTGTGGCTCGTTGGAAACACAAGAGAGTTAATCAGCTTTACTGGCTCTGGCTGTAATGGCTTTATCCCACAGGACTTGATAACAGTCAGATGTCCCATGTGTGTTGGGTTCAAACGCCCTCCTGCCTGACTGTCAGTCTGCCAGCTGGGACTCTGAGGTGAACTCTTCCCCCAACCACCACCATCCCCCGTCCCCCAATGCCCCAAAATGTCTCTGAGGCCCCACCACCGCCTCCTCTGCTACTCGTGGAAAAACACATTCATTGCATTTATTTTTATTTTGGCTCCTTGAAGTTTTATTCCAGATTATATTTCAGATATTTTTGCTTCTTTTGCACAAAGGGGAAAAAAAGAAAAGATGACAGAGGTCATAATTAGATTTTAATCCATACCAAGAAAATGATCTTTAGAGCTGCAAATATTGGTTGATTAATCGGTTAGTCCATCGATATAAAATTAACTATTCTGATTGAAGTTAATTAGATTTTTTATTTAATATCCTTGTAAATTGAAGATCTTTGGATTTTGGACGTTGGTTGGACGAAACAAAACATTTCTATATGTCACTCTCAGATCTGAGAGCTTGTAATAGACATTTTAACTGTTTTATTGATGTAAATTGATTTTCTTATGAAGCAATTAATCGATGAATTGACAAAATAATCTTCAGATGAATGAGATACTCAATATTCATCAATAATGAAGGTAATCGTTAATTGCAGCCCCTTTATTTTCATTATCGGTTAATTTGCTGAATACATTTTGATAATTAAAGGTGTCTCATGGTCTGTAATAAGTTCCCATCATGACGTCTTCAAAATGCTTTTTTCCCTAAGAAATTGTCCTAAACCCAAAAGATATTTGTGATAAAAAACAAAGAAAAGCAATAAAATTTTACATTTTAGAAGCTGGAACCAGCACATATTGGGCATTTGTCCTTAAAAAATGACGAATAACCGATTATCAAAGATTTTGTTAAACGATTGTTTGAGTAATTTTTCATCCGCTGAGTTCAACTTCTCAAACGTGAGGATTTGCTGCTTTTTTTTAGTTGATATAAAATTGATTATCTTTGACTTTTGGTCTGTTAGTTGCTAAAAACAACATAAACAACCTATATGAAGACGTCCTCTTGTGTTCTGAGAAATTGTAATGAGCACATTTTTACTTAAGACTAACATTTGATCATTAATCGAGAAAAATAACCATCAGAAAATCATCATTAGTTGCAGTCTTTCCTATGTCACACTGTGAATGAAGTCAGGAGCAAAAATATTAGTTTTCTAATTAATTACAGCAGCTGTTCAGTAGAGATATCCACAGTTAACACCCTTACAGAGAGACTCTCCGTGTTCTCTCCATAAACATCAGTGATATTCTCTAAATGTTCCTGCTCCCAGGATGCCTTTCTGCCTCTGGCTCTGCTTTTAACCTGGCCATCGATTGGGCCGACCCTGTGCGAGGTCATTAGCTCCTTCCTCCTGGGCCCTCCTCGGATAACAACGGGCTCTGTGCTTTTTCTAAATGAGGATAGATTTGGTTTTCATTAATTGACACACACTGTTCCCTTCAGCATCCCAATGTCTTTTCATTAGGTGCCAGTCAAACCTTCGGAAAAACGCTCCCAGGGGAAATCTACTGAGCAAACTGATTCCTCAGGATGGAGCCAAACTTATACCCCAGAGGTTACACGAACAAACTATCGTAGTACTACGGATAAATCTGTCTCTTTTAACCTTTATTCAAGCCCGGGTTGCTTCATGCTGATGGGAGATGGGGAATATGAATACATCCAATCCAAGAGATAAGATGCTTAGAGCCAGCTAGTGTTGTTACATCATCAGTACTAAGAGTACTTGCATTACTGGAACTCGTATATAATCATGTAAAAAGTATTAGCATAATCTACAAAGATATATTATATTGTATCTCGTTTATAAAACCGCCTGAAACTCCTTCTGTGACTTTATGTTGTTGAATTGGATAAATTTAAGCACCTCACATAGTCCCTGTGCTGTTATTGAAATGTGTGTGACAATCAGTGTTCATGTTAACTTTGTTTGGAGAAGTAGAGATACTTCATTACTGTACTTCAGTAGTTTTTTCAGGTATCTGTACTTAACTTGAGTATTTATTTTTAAGTTTTTACTTTTACCGCCTACAGTTTTTACACAAATATCTGTATTTTCTGCTCCCTATATTCTCAAAACAGGCGCGTTACATTAGTTTTAATGCATCTGAGGGGAATTATCAATTATTATTATAATTTTTTAATCTTCCCAGCATCACACATCACATATGTAATGTGCTGAAAATGCTGAAAACGTAACAAAACAAAACAGACAAGAGAGGGAGACGTGACCCTATTTGAAGTGTTTGCACAGAAACCGCAGGTACAAATGTTCTACAGAGAAACCAAGAGAGTACTTTTATGTACTGTTATATATTTCAGAGCCTGCATTTTTTCCACTTTTACTTGAGTAAAGAAGTTGAGTCCAGTTTTATTCTGGCTGGAAACCTTTGTCACCCCGCTCTGTCTGCTCCCTGATTTCTGTGGTCCTCTGAAGTCACTCTCAATAAAGAGGAAATATATGTTAGATCAGTATTTCTGACATATCCATGGCCTTCCTTAAGCCCAGGTGGTCGTTACGGTACGACCCTGTTTTTCTCTGTCTGGCATCACTGTCAGGTCAGACTTTCCTCCTGAATGACACCTTTGCCCATGACGACTGGATTTTCATTAAATCCAGTGGATATTTGAGGAATGGATGAAGATATTTGGTGAACGCCTTGACCTTTAATCTAAACGCTCAAACCTTCTGCTTGTACAGAAGAAATATTCAAATCTATTGTCGGGCAGATTGCCACAAACCCATTCCTGCTCTCTATTAGCTCACAGAAACCTCCAATATATGTTTTTTTGTTATGCATATTAAATGCACAAGACTGAAAACGCACAGACATACGTGTAAATGGACAGAAAGAGCTAAAATGTAATTTATTTTGTGGATGCAGATAACTGTATATCTTTCTATGTTGATGATCCTGTGTTGTTTCTCTAAAATCACCCTCAAGAAAAATTCCTTTCAACTCACTTCTGATTCGTAACTTACAAGTAGTTTCTGCTGTTTGCAAAACAGAATGATAACATTAAAACAGCATTTTAGCATCAGCACTACTTGCAGCATGAGTTATACTATAGTAAATGAGGGTTATACTACAGTTAATGAGGGTGATACTACAGTTAATGTGGGTTATACTATAATTAATGAGGGTTATACTACAGTTAACGGCACAAATGTTAGATATGAAGAATATGATTGATTATCGTAGTGTGGAAGTGGTATCGAACCTAAATTTCAGGCTCTGCATTCCTGCGTGTGTCTCTCAGGATGAAGTGGACGAATTGCGGGCGGAGATGGAGGAGATGCGGGACAGCTACCTGGAGGAGGAGGTCTACCAGCTGCAGGAGCTGCGGCGGGAACTGGACCGCTCCAACAAGAACTGCCGCATCCTGCAATACCGTCTGCGGAAGGCCGAGCAGAAGAGCCTGCGGGTCGCACAGACCGGCCACGTGGACGGAGAGCTTCTTCGTAGTCTGGAGCAGGACTTGAAGGTCTGTGAGAGTGTTTTTCATGCGAGAATATTTCAAGTAACCCTCCAGAATTGTATCACTGTAATGTGTTAAAGCTTTAAACAGAATCTTAAAGATACTAAAGCTTCCCACTGAACCCGGACTAATGAAATATATATTTTTCAACAGGGTTAGAAGTTTTAATAAAGTGGTGACCCACAGCACTTTTCCAGTGTTGGAAAAACCACTGAAAACAGTATGATTCTAAAAGAATAACTGATCTGCCATAAATCCAATGTGGAGATACTTTTCTGCTTCAACTAACAATTCTTTTCATTATCGATTAATTAGCTGACAGTGAAGAGTGTGAAACTACATCATTCTTATACATTCTCTAATTGGGCTAGTCAATTAAATAATAGTGAAATTAAAATAGTGCTTTTCTGGGGTTAGGAATAACTGCTGTAGTGCATAAAATGCCAAAAATGTGAGCATTTCCAAGTTCCCAGACCCTAAGGTGACGTCTTTTAAACTCAACAGACCAAAACCCCCAAAGATATTCAGTCTACCAATCATTACAGCACTACACTGTTTTATTATAGTGTTTAAATCAGCTACAGGTGACAGGATTATTAATCGTTTTAGTGAGTTTTAACACAGATATCTGCTGGATATACTAGTCTAACACTGTTCTGTATGGACAGAGAACTCCATAAGTAATAGTAGTAATTTGGACAGTGACACAATGTTTGTTATTTCAGCTCTGTACACCACCACTGTGGATTTGAAATAAAACAATTAGTGTGTGCTTTCAGTTCAGACTTTCAGTTTTAATTTATGGGTATTGACAGCAACATTGGGCAAACCGTGAAGGAATTACAACCCCACATTTCAGAGTACCAAAAGTAATAGGACAAATTAACCCTCAACTTAAAGCTGAAAGTCTGAACTGAAAGCACACACTAATTGTTTCATTTCAAATGTACAGAGCCAAAATAAAAAAAATGTCTCACTGTCTAAAATACTTACAAGGGTGACTGTGCTTAGATGTGAGCTCATATACAAATATATAAATGGTGTATCGTGTGTTTAAGGCACATATTATGAAATATTCATGTGCCCGTTTTGTTTTATCAGTTTGAGCTGTATGTGTTTGTTCTTGAACATATCTGTCCCCGTGATCTCAGGTGGCCAAAGATGTGTCGGTGCGTTTGCACAACGAGTTGGAGAGCGTGGAGGACAAACGCAGCAGAGCTGAGGATGAGAACGAGCTGCTCAGGCAAAAGATCATTGAAGTGGAGATTTCCAAACAGGCGCTGCACAACGAGCTGGAGAGGACCAAAGAGGTGAGAGGATAACAGCGAAGATGTTTGTGATATGTTGCTGCTCATGGGAAAAGATTTGCTTTCATCCGCACACAGCACTGTGTTTTGTCTCAGTGGATGCTAATTGTCAGAAATAACATCATCTTGAGAATCTGTTTGGAGCCTAGTGGTTAATGAATGATGAGACCATTATGGAGCGTTGAGAGTGAGTTGTGGTAGAGAGAAGCAGTAAATATGACATCTGTGCTTTATGTGGTTATTAAAAAAACTAGTGTTGGTGGCTGTGCAGCTCACACAGGATGAATCTCCAGCCTGTGATATGCTAGTCGGTATCGTGGCCTCATAACTACCTGCATATAAACCAGAGGAAATCTCAGTTAATGTGATGCTATTTCAGATCAATGGCGATCACCGGCCTGATCAGCAGGGTCAATCACTCAACCGCTCTGTGACAGCCCTTTCAAAACAATTGCTTTGTGCAATGATGTACAGACTATTTGAGCAACTACAACTATATGCAACTTATTTTTAATTCCAAAATATGAACATGGCCTTATTTACAGCTTAAATCTGGTAAAGCAGTTGCAGAAGAAATGGTGGTTGGATGCATCCACACTTTGATGCTGCTGAGTGCAGAGGTGGAAAGAAGAAGTACAGATACTCTGGTGAAAGTAAAAGTACTGATTCAACTATATACAGCCTCTGGAAAGTATATAAATGAACTTTTTACTTTTAGTTGGTTTCTCTGAAGCTGTTTCTGTGCAAAACTGAAACTTCAAATAGGGTCGAGTTTCCCCCTCTTTTGTCTTGTTGTGCGTTATATGCACCGGGTGTTGACATTGGGAAGGTGTGCACTGATGCAAAACAAAATTATAATGATCAATAATTCCCCTCAAATCCATTAAAACTAAAGTACAGAGCCAGTTTTGAAAATGTATGGAGTAGAAAGTACAGATATTTGTGTCAAAATGTAGGAAGTAAAAGTAAAAAGTCAGGAAAATAAATACTCAAGAAAGGTACAGATACCTCAAATGAATACTGAAGTACATTTACCTCCCACTTGTGCCTGAGATTGAGCTACAGTACTACTCCATACTACCTGGTGTTGCTACCACCCCTCCCTGACAGACGAGGTGTGTTTACAAGGTAACCTCCAGGCTAAAGATGAAATCCAAGTCAGTTCCCATAATCGTCTGTCTGGAAAGAAGTTCAGCAACTTCTTTTAGCGAAGACTCTTTCCTCCTGCAGCAGTGCAGAGTTCAAGAGTTCAAAACTCAGCCACTCAATACCAGACCTTTTACTGTAATTGTTCTTTCTATTAGCATTGTAAACAGTCTGTTGGTCGGCGGTTTTTGCTGCCTTATTACTCCCTTTATTTACTACCTATGGTCAGTACATGTCTAAGCTACTGTAGACATGTCATATACTGTTATTTTCAGAATAAATTAAAAAAAGACTACTAAGAAATAAATCAAATAAATTAAATTAATAATTAATAAAGTACAATACATGACCCAGGACACAGATACAGTATATGCAGAATTACATTGTTTTTGTTTTTTGTCTGAAAGTTTTCAACACAAGGCAAATTAATTTAATGGATAGATGAGATGAGTCATTGTTTCATAAGAACAATTATGATTCGACATTTTTAATTGTGTACATTTTTAAAAAAAAGTACATTTTCATGGGGATTGTAGATGAATATGTTTTGAGTTTGGAGAGTACAGCTCCCATCCTGCTTTAGGCGATGTTAGCAGGAAGTGTAATGTTACCATAGAGTCATAAAGTTAGCAACGGGATACACCTGGGTCCCATTTTCGAACTTGAACCCTCGAAAGTTATCATTAGCTACTAGCAGTTGCAATGTAACTATAAATTCATATTGTCCTGGTTATTAGAAGCTCATATGATATATGCATTGTGAGTTTTGATGGTATTTTCACCCCATTTTACTACTATAGCTATAGAATTCAGACTTTTGTCTGTGACATTTTTGTGTCAACGTTACTCTTGTGTTGCTCAGTGGGGAGAGTATTTGTTCTGATAGCAGTGAAGTGAGGTTCTTCTTACAGGTAATAAGATGAGCGGAAGATATTCTCAGTGCTGCTTGGGTTCAGCTGCTTAGACAAATCGATTTTGACAGCAGGTAACATGCCGTCTGGCAACAAAGAGGAAGTAGGCTAATACCAGACCAGTCAGCATGGAGAGGTGGCTTTCCTTGGCAACTGACACTGTTTGTGTTTTACTGTCATCACGTGTGCTGCTGGTCTGATTCCCAGCTTGTGCCACAGTGACTCCATATGACCTCCACCACCTCTGTAGGTCTTCCATTGGTTGAGAATCTATATTCTTTATGACCTTAACTATCTGTGTTTGAGACGTTGTTGTTTTTAAAGGCAACTTATCAGCCCTCCTGACTGAGCTGCACACACTCGGACGGAGACAGAAAATCCATGTCTGGTGTGGATGTGCAAATACAGCAAATGCAAGTCGTTGTTGTTGTCGTTTGACACTTATAACCCCGTTTTGAAAGAAAATGATCGTCCAGCGGTAAGGCTGAAGTGAGAGGACGCTCCACATGAGGCGTTTTTTCCTTTGCACAGCAGTGATAGTATGTGTGGTGGCGTATGTGTAATGCATAGAAACACAGGATGACACAGACTGTCTTGTATACAGAGGAAGAGGCGAGGGAGGCTGAGACAGCGGCTGCTCCAAATGATTGCAGAATTTCTTGTGTCCCCCCGAGGTTTGTCCCAGAAAAACACAAGCCGTCTCTGGATCTGCACTTCGACATCACGTGACGCCACTACCTTACCAGAGGCGTGCGTTTATAATGCATCACCCCAATATTTTCATTTTTGCTGCACAGTTTCTTTGCCCAGGATTTTTCCAGCAGTTAATCACCATGTAGTCATTTCTGAAAGTCTTTTAATTCCCATGAAAATTCATAAAGCACAGCGGGCAACCCATTAGTTTTTTTTTTAAATTGTTGATAGCAGGGAGATGATAAGAGAGTTTACAAATATTTAGTGAGGGATGAGTTTAAATGGATGAGTCTGAGAATCTGCCCTCTGCTCTCGTAGTCGCTCAGATAAATCTCAGTGACAGGCGAGGAGGTGGAGCTGATAAGAATGTTGTTCAACTGGACTGAAGGGTTCTTCCTTTCCCTTTCTGCTTTAATAAGACTTTGTAAATTGTGACTCAGGTGTAGTGTAAAAGTGAAAAGCACAAAATCCTCCACACTCCTTTGGTTTTTTACTAGTTTTTAGAATTCCACCGGAGGCACCTTTGTCTTCTTCCATTTAGTTATTTTCATTATCTTTTACAGTCTTTTTATTGCTAAATGTAAATGGTAAAATACTTTCTAAATGCAAACAAGCTTCCTCAGTTACTTGCTCACCACCGTGGTTAAAAAGGGCAACTGACCTCAGATAGTTCAGGCGTCTCTGGCCTTTTAAAGCCCATCTCCTCCTGTCCCTCTGCCCGTTCTCTCTGCTATCAGAGGCTGCACAGTGTGATTCTGGCCCAGAGATTGGCACCCCTGCATGGATTAATCCAACAAGAAGGCCTGTTATAAAACAGCCCTGGCGTGTTTCGGTACACTCTGGTGGGAGGGGAGAGCAAGAGAGAAAAAAGACAAAGCGGCAGAGAATGGCTGTAATCAGATGGCTGTAGGCCCTGTCCGCCTGCGATACGACCACAGCTCCAAAGCTCATAGACCTGATATTAAACAGTTTAGGAGGGCTGGTTGACAGAACCCTCTGTTGATACAGTACTGGCCCAAAGAGCAAATTACAGCTGCTGCTTTTGTGTGGTCAGTACAAAGGCGAACAGCGATTGGTCGAGAGATTTTTCATTCCTCTGACATTTGAAGAAAGGCCCACTGATACGTGTAATGAAATGGAACTAATGAAATGTCAACGTGCATAACAAGAGCATCAGGTGATTTATTGGGTACTCTCTGTCCCCCCTGTGATAAGTTCATCTTTCATTACGGCAAAAGGATAATCCTTTGTGCTGTGCTCTTCCTCCTAAGCGAGCACCAGTTATGTCTTATGTCTGATTTGTTATTGACATACAGGAGCACTGACTGACATCAGATCTCATGAGGACAGAATACCACAAAGAAACTTAATCTACACATTTTGTAACACAGGTTGGAGGCACTCTCCTGCAATGGATGTGTGTTTACATTCACATGAGCCGACAGCTTTCATAGGGGCTGATTCTTAAAGGTCAGGGGCGGCTGTGGCTCAGAGGCAGAGTGGGTCGTCCCCCAATCGGAAGGTTGTTGGTTCGATCCCCGGCTCCTCCTGTCACGTGTCGAAGTATCCTTGAGCAAGATACTGGCAACCCAAATTGTGACTGGATTGCCATTTGAATGTGTGATGGATGAGTTAGCCTCTTCCCTGTATTGATGGACTTTGCCATCACCTGTAAGCACGTAGCTGGAAGCTTCTGATTGGTCGGAAGACTAGAAAAAGCGCTTCTATACATACTCAGGTTCATTTACTCTATTTTACCAAATTGTAAAGGGTTAGTTTCAATGAAAACGCAAGGTCTGGCATTATTAGGACAAGGACTTTCTTAAATGCCATTCTTGCGTAGGTCACAAACAAAATCCCATTCACCTCTGTAGTATTGGAGTGGATGCAGATATAAAAAAATATATAAGAAAACCTTGAAATGCAAACCAGCAATCTTGTTAACATGGTTAGTAGGGCTGTGACTAACATTATTTAATTAAAGATACTATATTTCACTTAGAGCCCAACGTTATATTTTAAAATTGCTTGTTTTGTTCAATCAACAGTCCAAAACACTTGATATTGAAAAATTTTAACAGAGTAGAACCTAAACAATAACAATAAAATGAATTTATTATCGACAGAAAAATAATCAGCAACTATTTCAATAATCTCAGTAATTGATTTATGATTTCAGTAATCTTTGAATCAAAAATAGTGTAAAAGTGCAGAATCTTTTCTTCATTCACCTAAGATATTTGGATTAAACAG